TCACCCGGTTTCCCACTGACACACACACAGCTGAGTGTTTTCACAACCACCTCCACGGAGCAACCAAGTTACAACCCAATTCCAGAGGCCCTGGAGTCCTCCCTTGCTGTCAGGTGCTCAGGGCAGACACCAGCCAGGGATGCCCCTGCCCAGCCACGAGGCTGAAGGTGCAGCTGCTTCAAGTGCCAGGCTGGGCGGGAGGGCACAGGAAGGGGCTCTGCCTGTCCCACAGTCCCACTTGGATGGGGCAGCCCCTGGAGCAAACACACCCCCACATCCATCCCATGTGGCATCAGCCCTGCACCACTCAGCTCTGGGCTTGCTGGGAAGGTGGGATTTGGTGGGATTTGGCAGTGCCTGGGGTGAGGAGGGTGAAGGAGCCCATGAATCAGCCCTGGGGGGCTGCCCACGGTGCCAACCCAGAGCATCACACAGGCTCTGCTGTGTTCCTGCAGAAACCCAAAGAATCCCTTGGAAAGGCAAATTCCCTCTTGATATATCAGCCTGTAAGGGAAGCCTCCAAACCCTTGACCCTGCAAATGTGCCTGTGTTTATGAAAGGCAGCCACAGGAGCCGTGTGGGGTCATTTGTGTTTGTGGCAATCCACTCCAAAGGAAACACAGCTCGGGGTGGGGGAGCCCCAAATTCAGCCCTAACCCCGTCTTCTCCTGCTGTGGAGCATTTATGGGTTTTGCCTGGAGTAAAGCAGATGCTCTGATGGGAAATGGCAGGTGAGAGAGGATTTCCCCAACCTCCTGAGCTGCTCCAGCCGCTCGGGAAATGGCAGATCCAGGGAGGTGCAGAGCCTGGGAAGCATTTCTGCAAACACATTGCTGAGTCTGCAGTGGGTTTTTTCTTTTTAAACTCTCTCCTCCAGCAATCTGAAAAGCTGTGGGGACTCTTCCAAAGCAGTGGCAGGGCCTTTTCTAGGTGGTTACGTGCTCAAAGCAGGGTTGACTTTCCACTGTGGGAAATGTCCTCATGGACGAGCAGCTTTTTTGTGCTTTATTTGTCCAGAACTTACCACCAACAGGCACTTTGCTGGAATTTCTTTGAACAGCAGAGATAAACTCTTGGGTGGTGGGATTTGGGGGCACTTGGCACGATGCCACTGACCCCTGACAGGCTCTAACTGAGGGCTCAGCTTGGATTAATCCTCCTGCTTTCCATTTGAGTGCCCACACTGATGGTCTCCAACATTTGTCCCCTCGAGTCTCCCTGACCATCCCCCAGGAGCCACTCCTGCCTTGAGAATCCTGCAGGTGCCTGGGGGCATTTTTCTCCTCTCTGAATCAGTTTTTTCTCTGGGTAATATTTAACTGCTGATCACACGTCCTTCCCCCCCGTGCCCCCCACCTGAGCATTCCCAGGAACGCTCTGGAGCGTGGGATGTGAGCAGTGGGCAGAACCACCTTGCTGCAAGCAAAAGAGTCTGGGTTGTGTCATGATTTTGGGCTCCTATGTCGTGTTTTGGGGCTCCTGTGATGCTCTAACAACCATCACCTTTATGTGCACGAGTGCAGGTGGATTTTCTTCCCCCCTTGCTGTGGTGGGTCTTGTAACCCACCAGACCCCGTTTTTCATTCCCAAATCCCAGGTTAATTGTGCTGCAGGCACTGGTGGTTTCACAGATATGGTTCTGTGAAGCTCTTTGTGCATGGAATGATCTCCCAGCTCCTGCTGAGTCCGGATGAGCTGGGAATAAACCTCAGGCCTTGTCCTGTACAGTGAATTCTCTCCCTCCTGGTGACTTCCCTGGCTGAAATGTTTGCTCATGAGCTGCCTCCAGCACAGGAGCTGCATTTCTGGGATGTGCTGGTGCATCCAAACCCATCTGGTGTAACATGTAGTGTAGAAGTGCCTCCAATCCCTTCCAGAAGGCACAGGACTTGCTGCAGGGGGGATGTATCCCAGATTTCCAGGTGAGCAGCTGTGATCTGAGCTGTTGAATCTGTGCAGGGATGACTGAACCCTTAAGGATTCCTGAGGAATATGTCTGGAGACGTGGTTCAGTGTTGTTAGACAGGAATCTTTTCTCCCAAAACCAGACCACAGCATCTTCTCCTCTTTGTTCTAGTGAGTTGGATCCCGTGAGAGTTCTCATTTGCCAGCTCTTGGTTACATCACTTGGAGTTGTTTAATTTAGTGCCTGTGTGTAGAGTCATAAGCTAAAAATGTAGAATAAGAGCTTTCTAATAATGATTTAAAAAAGCTGCCAACAAAATAAAACCTCTAGCATTCCTTTCAGGAATAAGCTTCACATTTGCTCCCAGCTCTCTCTTGATACCTGATGTATCATCTGTGCACTGCATGTAAGTGGGAATTTGGGTTTAAAATCTTATTCCATTTCCTCTTACTGAATTATTTCAGACCTAAATAACGAAGTAATTCCACCTCCTCCAAATGCAGCCACGGGACCAAATGATTTATTGCAAATGTCTTTTAAGGGCCTCACTAAGTAACCACAGCAGGTTAAACAGACCCTTTTCTCTTGGATGATGTATTAGTTTGAAAAATTCGGGTCTGTTTGGCACTTCTGGATGGGGAGAGGGTTTTATGCATCCCATGGGTCTGCCTGCAAGCTCAGACAAGCAGAAAATCCTGCCTGGGTCCAGGGTGGGAAGCTCTAGGTGACACATATGATATTTGTCAGGGGAAAAGGGGTGATTAGGGGTGTTTAAAAGGCACAAAAATTAAGAACAGGCATCAGAGCCCAACCCAGCAGCCCCCCCTGGGCAGTTCTGTGCCCAGCTGGAGGCTCTGAGCTGCAGGAGCTCCAGCAGGGTGATGGTGCTTGCTGGGTTTTTTTCCATTCTAACTTCAAACCCTGGTTCTGTTGGATATTTCACAAGGCTTCTGATCCCAGTGTGCTTCAGATCCTGGCCTGTAACCAGTGGGAAAATACCTCTGGCTTGTTTTGCTTCCACATCCTGGCTGCACGGGCAGCCCTACCCCGAAGGGTCTGGGGTGGTTTTAGGGTCTGAATGCACTTTGCTGCCCATGGTGGAGTTGCTGTCGTTTCCATGAATAAGTCCATTCACCCAGAGGGAGAGGAGAGAAATGTGTGTGGCCCAGAATTTTAACTCAAAAAAAAGAGGATTAAAACTGGGAAATGTGCAGTTCACAGCCTTGCTCCTGGGCAAGTCAGGGACAAAAGTCTTGTTGGGTTCATATTCCCAGGTGTGGCTCTGGAAATGAGGGGGTTTCTTCCCGGGGGTTTGGTTCTCCCTCCCTCAGCTCTTGTCCCCTGTGTGAGCTGAGGGGTTTGAGCCCCTCTCCCCACACGAGCCAGGGAGGGTGACTGAGCTCTCCCTCCTCCTTGGTGCTGCTGCTGCACAGAGCTGCTGCAGTCTGCAGAACTTTCTCTGGCCTGGCAAGGAAATGAAAAGCTTTTAACGTGTGTTTTAACAGCAGCTAAACCCGGGGAGCTCGTGCCAGACCCTGAGACAAACACACGAAGGTGCCGCTCTGACCTGGGGACACAAAGGGGCTCACACAGACTGGGATTGTTCCCCCGAGGCCACAGCTCTACCCCAGGAGTTTGAACTCGGGGTTTTCTTCCCTCCTTCCTCTCTCTTTAGAGCCCCTCAGGGTAGATCCTGGCACATTCAGGTCCCACTGAAGCACAGTCGTGTTTTTATCTCTGAAGTCACCGTTTGTCCCAATCCCCCGCTGATGTTCCCGGGGATGTGGGAAGGTGCTCGGTGCAAACCCCACCTTTTTCTGGGTGGCCAAGCACTGAATTTGGGTGCATTCCTCACCAGCACCTGCCTTCCCTGGCAGGGTGTTGGTTCCTCAAGCCCAGCTCTCCCGGATAAAGACTCACACAGAGCCCTCTGTTCCCTGTCCCCCCTCTCCTGTAACTGTGCAGGAGCTGCTGAGGGGTGAGCTCTGATCCCCATCTCCTCCTGAAGGAGCAGGGGGTCCCCCCCAGCTGAAATTGGGCAGGGCAGGGGGGGCAGGAAGGCTGTACCAAGGGGGGCATCGCTCCCAGGGGCCAAAACAACCCACACCCTGTGTCTGCCAAGGTGTTTTCCATGGAAACGGGCCCGAAGCTGAACTTTATGGAAACATCTGCAGCTCTGTAAAACAAGCAGCAGTGTGAGCCTCCACCCCCAGGCTGGGGGAGTGAGAGGCTCTCAGAGGCCAGGCAGGTGTGTGTGCACAGGGGGAAGTGCAGCCGTGTGTCATGGAGAAGGAATGTCCTGTGATTGCTGTATCAAAGTCCATTTCTTCTCCCCTGCTCAACGGCTTTTGTCCAGCACTCTTGACTTTCCACGTGCTTTTCCACACAGAGTGGGATCCAGGCTGCAATGCCCCAAAAGGAGCAGGTTCCCATGGATTTGGCTGGGCTTTGGTGGGTCCCTGAGTCTCGCAGCAGAGGCTTGGTCAGGTGGAATCTGCTGATTCACTTGCTGCAGGTAAAGGACAGGCCCCTCCTGCCCTGGCTGGAGGCACAAACCTTGGAGACACAGGCCTTGGACCTCTTGACTTGCTGCACAATTGAGAAAAATCTGACCTGATGCATTTTTCCAATTGTTTGTCAGCACCCTGGCAGATCAATTAATCCTTTTTGTAAACAGGAGGTTTCACTGACAACAGTAAAAATCCTTTGGGTTTGGGTGACTCATGCACAAAGAGCTCAACCCTCCCCAAGGTGGTTTGAACCAGGTGGAAGGTAGGAAGCAGGAGTATTACATGGCTTAATATCAAACCATTCAGCCTTATTTATTTGGGTTTTTTTATTTTAGCAGCCAGAGGAGGGGCAGAACGCTCCTGTGAGCCCGGGGTTTGAGCTCTTCTGCTCAGGAGCCACAAGGTGACAGTTGGATGTGGTTTTTTTCTGAATTTTGCTCATGGTCAGAGCACTTGCCCAGCTTTCCCCAGCCTGCAGAGGGATGGAGAGGCTCTTCAGCCTCTGCTGAACTGAAGTTTCGAGTGGGTGGATGTGGGGAGGGGCAGGGACAGCTCTTCCCTGAGCTCTGGTGCCTCTCAGGTACCCCCAGGTGTGTGTGAGCCCTTTCCCTGTGCTGCACAACGAGGCTGGGCAAGCTCTAAACACAAAATATTTCTGTGTTGAAAGATCTGCAGCTGCTGTTGGTGCTGCTGAATTAACGTGGCCTGGGCTGAACAAAGGCATCATTCAGCCAGAGGAGAACGACCCAGTTACAGGCTCGGGACAGAGTTATTTTGGGGGTTTAGATTAAAAGAAGAAATCCAAACTTTTTACCTTTGGGGGATTGAAGTATTTGGTGAAATGGACCTTGCAGTCCTGATCCCACACCCCCAGGCAAACCCTGACTGCTTCCCTTCCTGCTGGGTCTTGATCCCTCTCATTCCTGCCACGGAGCCTCCCAAGGACACACCGTGTGTTGACTCAGCTGGTGCCCTCCCCAAACAACCCCCTGCCTGTCACTGTCCATCCCACTGTGTTCCTCCTGCCTCCCAAATCTGTGTCCTGCCACCCTGGGTGGTGTTGGATAGAGGCTACTCTGCAGAAACCTTTGGGAAAGCCTCCCCAGGGGGAAGGGAGGGCAGGCTGCCTGTCAGATCCCCAGGTATTTTTATTACCAGCTAATTTCTATCTGCTGAATTATTTCTGGCTGTCATGTACCTTGTGCTGTGCAAAATTACCTGCACTAAGGACATGCCACAGGGCCACAATATCCCAGTGGAGTACAACAGAGCCCTGCCTGATTGTACTGGGAAGGATCTGAAATGGGAAACTCAATTCAATATCGAGTGTTGAGGAATAATTTACTTTTCAAAGGACAGCTGGAGTGTCCCAGCTCTCTGGATCCGGGAGCTGAAGTGGTTCCAGAGGGCTGTTGGAAGTGGTGCTCACACCCCTCTCGGGCTGAAGGAGCCCTTTAATGGCTCAGGTTACCAGGTGCACTGAGAAAACATTTGGGAAAGGCTTAGAAAAAACCAGTAAACATCCAGGCTGCTCTTTCCAGATCTAGTTTTACCCTGACCCCAACCCAGAAAGAGGCATATTTTCAGCTGCCCACTTGGAAGCTTATCCACTTCCAACAACAGAGCTGAGGTGACCCCGGGGTGAGGGAGGTGCTGGGCTGAACTCACACCAACCCTCTGTCACAGCAGTGACCCTGTCCTGGGGTGGCTCTTGTTTGCCATGGAACTTCTGGAGCTTCAAATCAGGCTTCTTCACATCAGATGGATGAAACTACTCTAAATTCTATTTTAGAATGGAGTTTTTAAACCTTTCTGTGCTGACTTTTCCCCTTCCCTCAAGACACGTTGATGAATTCTGGGTGCAGAATCCCTCACACTTGTATCTCAACCTGAGATGATAATCTAAAAATCCTAAAGCATTTAAAATACATATTATTCCAAACAGCAATAGTACATAGCAACAATGCATTGTTGTGTTTATATCTTATTTTATCCTTTTAATACCGAACAGGGGATATTTTAAAGCAAACTGCTCAAGATTGGGGCGAAATTTCCAGTCCAGATTTTCACCACAGTGAAAACATTAAGAACCCCAGCTTGGTGAACCCTCACTTAGTAGGCTCTGACCCTTTAATGGACAGTTGCCTAATTACCACTGTCAAATTTGGGTTGATATTTCATTAATGTTTTATGAACTCACTCCCCTGTTTCCCCCTGCAGCCAAATCAAGATGACGACGGCCACGCCACTAAGCAACAACACTCAGCTCTCAGGGAACGTGACCACAAAGTCTCAAGAACAAAGTCTCTATCAAAGTAAGAAAAGGAGTGGGCTGGTGGCTTTTTTTATTTTATTATTTTATTTTTTAAGTGGACCTTGTAGTTACCAAACTTTGAAGAGTACAGTGACAACTTTGTAAATAAGGGGTTATTTTTCCCCTCCCTGTTTCTCTCCCAGGTTCTGGAGCAATAGTTGCTGCCATCGTGGTGGGAGTGATCATTATTTTTACAGTGGTTCTGCTCATCTTGAAGACATACAACAGGTACGTGGCCAAGTTCTGTGTTCACCAAAATGGACCAAAGTCCCTGTTCTGAGCCAGCAGAGCACTTCAGGATTTGTTGTTGACAGTTTCCAGAAGAATCTAAACCTCAGTGTGCTGCTGGAAGTGTCCTGATTCCCACAGTCGGTGCTCTGTGACTGGGCTGTTAGGAAGCAGAATTTCTTCCTGGGGGATGCTTGGTGGAAGCTCTTTTTAGGGATTCCTGTGGATGCAGGGAAGGTCTGAGCCTACAGCAAAGCTGCCAGAGGGGAGTTTGATTTCTCACCTCTCATGCTCTGGAAGCACTGACTTGCCATTTGGTACCTTTGGGATGAAACTGAAAAAAGAAATTGAAAAAAAAACAACAAAAAAGAACATTAAATTGCTGGGTGAACTGGCAATTGTTGTGTTTTGTTCTGAGCCACACAGCAGACTGCAGATATTATAAAGAGTTTTTAATAGGCTTAATCCTGTTAAGTGCCTGTGCCACAGGCAGTCTTTAGGATTCCCATGGTCTGGATTAGCAAATGGGAATGTCAGTAGCCTGTTCCCTTTCAATGTGTGATGACTTTGCAGCCTGTCATGTTGCTAATTCTGGGTGCTTTCTGACCAAAGTGCTTGGGGAGCTTAGAATTTTGAGTTTTTTCTTATTTGTTATCATTTAGTTCATTGACAGCTTCTGTTGTTGCTGGTGCTGAGCCCCTTCCTCCAGGCACAGGGAAGGACATGGATTAAATTCCTTGTGTTCCATCAGTCACGTTGTTTTCCTGAATAAACTTCCCAGGCCATGGGTTTGCTCTGAATCCTCACCAGCCCATCAGGGTTCGGATGTAGCTCTGCACTTCCTCTGTTGATTCTTTGGGATGAAATCCTGGCTTTTACTGACTTTTAAATAACTGCACAATGCAACCTGGTTGTGTGGGAACCTTCCCAACCCTCCCCAGGGGAGCCCCAGCCCCGCTGATGGTTCCGTTTCCTCCGCAGGCGCATGAGGGTGAAGCGGGAGCTGGAACCCAAACCCTCCAAGGCAGCGATGCCACCTCCTCTGGGGCACAACAGCCTGTGCCAGCCTCCCACAGTGACCTTCATCCCTGTGGACATCCACCTGCACGACAGGTAACCGGGAACACTCGTCCTCCCCGGCAGACAAGAGGTGGAACTGCTGCTCGCACGCACCCGGGACTCCTCAGCAAAGCATTTGGGACAGCAACGGGCTGTTGCTTTGCCTGTGGATTGTCATTAATCCTGATTTCTCTCTTTGGGAGGAAAAATAAGAGGTCTGGACACTCTTCCTGTGGCTGAAATCAGCTGGTGGAGGCGCAGGAATCAACAGAGCCCTGGGTGTGGGGAGAGCGGATAAAGCAAGAAGGTGCCAGCTCAGATTTTGTGGAGCTTTTGCTTGCTCAGAGTTTGAACTTTTCTCTGTTCTGCTGATAAACAGGAAGAAAAATCTGGACGTGCCACAGCTCAGGTTGGACCTGGGTTTGTTGTGAATTACATGGCACAGGTTTGTGGTCTGTTTTGATAGCACAGGAAGCATCAGAATTGTATTTATCGTTACTCACCTGTCGTGTTTCTAAGGCCACGTGTGTATGGGTTGAGATAAAATGGTACTTTTTATGTTCAAGTATTTTTAAACTATTTCTATAAACCATGTAACTCTCCATTTCCAAAGGAGCTCGGGTGTCTGAGAGTTTTCACTCTTGAGAATTGATTCAGGTCCCGGGCTGGAGCTGCCTGAGAATGTTTTGTCTTGCACAAAATGTGAGTTCTTTAATTGGAAAAATAACCCTGGGAATAGAAGGAATAATCCTGTATAAAGCAAGTGAGGCTCTGCAGAGCCCCAGTGTGCCACTCACCCCCTGCAAGGCTTTGTTCTCTGGTGCAGACCGGGCTCCAACTATTTTTAGAAATTTTTTTATCCTAAAAAAAACCTGAGAAAAACGATGTTGTTTTGCGAGTGTGATGGTTGTGGGTGTCCAGCAATGCCACAAAGGAATTCCCAGGGATATTCACAGCCCACTGAGTGGGAACACAGAGCAGCATTGTCAGTCAGTGGCTGATTGTCTGAGGGTGTGTCAGAGCAGCCCCCAGTGGGCTGACAGGGACAGGAAGGATTTTAGGAAGGAGCTGAGGAGTTAAACCTCGTCTTAAATGACATGAAGCTCTGGGGAACAGCTCCACTCCCTGACACACAGAGCTTAAATTTTATGGAATCACTCACTGGAATGGCTGGACAGAGGCAGAAGTTACTGTTGTCTGACTGAACCTCCAGCTTTAGAGCTTTTTGTCCTGCAGCTTCTTCCCAACACGTCACCAACAGGTACATCCCTGAATCCCCCCATCCTCAGGGGAGGGTGGGGAGGGACTGGGGGACAAGTTGATCTATTTTTTTTCCAAGAAGCCACCTCTTGAACAGGTCAGTTTTACTAACTGGTGGTTTGTTGGTTTTGGGTTTGTTTTTTGTTTTTTTTTTTTGGTGCAGAAACTAAATTCAATTACTTTGCAATATTTTTTTTGTCTGAAACTGGAGCAGGGTTTGAATTCCAAGCTAAATATTGAGACAGCTGCTTGTGAAGTTTCTGAATCTCGCTGTAAATATTTTACTTGTCCTAGTTCTCTTATTTTTTGTGGCAGGGGTGATTGATTTAATCATTCAGAAGGGACGGCAGATGCAAATCTAATTTTTTTTCTAAAAATTATGAAGGAGTTGACCTTCTGTTGCCATCTCTGATCAGCTAAGGATGTTCTCTGGGCATGTATTGAAATCAAGACCTTTAGAAAAGATAAGCCCCATCCTACTGTTATGTTCAACATCACCAGCCAGACCTACTTCTAGCAAATTTTGTTTACTTTCCATTTACTTCATTTCAAACCACTGAAGTTCAGGAGCAGAATAAGCAGAGCTACTGTGAGCAACTCTGCTTTTGTAGAATTACTGTTCCTGGCAGGAGAGTCACTGCTTTGGCCACACCAGCATTTGCTCAATCGAAAAAATTCCAACCCCAGTAAAAATTTGCCTCATATTGGCCCATCCTGGGAGGCCCCCACGATCCCCTCCTGGCAGCAAAACCCAGGAGCTTGTGCTGAGCAAGCAAAAATCACCTTCCTAAGAAACAAAAACCCCCCTGTATTTCCACTGTGCTGCCACTTGTGTGGTTTGCTGTGGATTTAAGTTTTCCAGGAACAATCCCATGCTCTCCCTGTGCTGCCTCAATGCTGACTCGACCTGCCCCGTCTCGGCTCCCTGATTCCACTTCCAAAGGCCCAGATTTTGGGAAAGCCCCCCTTTAGCTGCCCCTGCTGCTCTCCTGCCCCCAGGGAAACCAGCTGGTTAAAGAAACACTGAAAGCTGTGGGGAGAACAGGCAGTGTGAGTGCAACACCTTAATCGTGATCCACACAAGACTCGTTGGAGATTATCCATGAAACTCTGCAAATTAACAGGATTTGGGCACTTGTGGACCCAGTGCCTTTCTCCCTGGGAGGAACAAGCAACATTTCCAGCCCCTTGTTCTGTGCTTTGGTTCAGCAGTGACAACGAGGACATTGGGGCCGCAGGGCAGAGACAAAAATATCACTACAACTTTTTTGATGGTCAGAGTTAACAGTTGGTCTTGCAAGAATCAGTGGTTGGTTTTTTTTGCTCCTAAAAGTCTTCTGGAGTACCTTCAGCAGGTCGGGTCCTTCAGTCTCACAGCTGGCACCTTAGAGATGCAAATACGCTGGTAAAACGTTTAATTTTGCACCGCTGGGTAAGTCCCGACCCCAAAACTCCTGCAAGGCGGCAGCTCTCACCCCTCCTCTTCATCCTCATATCCCAGCCGAGAGCACGGAGCTCCACCTAGTGTCCTCCTCCCTCCCGGCCGCCTGGAACTGGCGTTTCCCAACAAAACCACAAAGCAATTCCAAGTGTAGCCGACAAGTGAATTCCCGACACCACCTTCACCCCCATCCCAGTCCTCCTTCCCCTCCTCCCCTCCCCAGCTGAGCCCAGCACTCCCCCAGGTCTGGCCGTGCAAAGCACAGATCGTGGCAGGTCTAAGCAGATAAAATACAAGAATGTTCTTTGGGTTTTATTCCTGAGTCCCATAAACAATTTATCTCCTAAAAACACAACCATAAAACCACGTGTCTCTCACGTGTCTCTCACATGGCTGCTGCTGAAGCAGGAAGCAGCTGTGGTGCTTTGAGTACCAACTAATTTTATTTATTAATCATTATTAATAATTTTTTATTTAAAGGAACCTATCCTTTTTAAGGATGAAGGACATAGGAGTTACTTTTGGATAAAACCCAAGGCTGTTACTGTGGGTAAATTTGTATTGACCTGAGTGAGCTGGAACTTTACTCCCACATCTTTCAGCAGGTTACATTCGTGTGACCTGCACCAGTCACACCAGTTTGCTGTCCTGGACACTGGTGCCTGAGGTGTGGGGAGAGAACTCTCACAGCAGTGTCTCTGTCCAGTTTTGGGCTCCTCAGGACAAGAAGGACGAGGAGCTGCTGGGGAGGGTCCAGTGGAGGCCGCAGAGATGATTTGGGGTCTGGAGCATCTCTGGGATGAGGAGACATCACGAGAGCTGGGCCTGGTCAGTCTGGAGGACGGAAGGTTGAGAGGGGACCCACAAATCCGTACAAATATCTCATCAATCCACACAAATATCTCCAAGGGGTGTCACAGGATGGTCCCAGATTCTTTTCAATGGTGCCCAGTGACGAGAAGTAATAGACATAAAGTAAAATATAACAAGTTCCACCTCAACATGAGGCAAAACTACTTTCCGTGGAGGTGGCAGAGGTTGCCCAGGGAGGGTGTGGAGTCCCCCTCTCTGGAGTCATTCCAGACCCACCTGGGCGCGTTCCTGTGTCACCTGCTCCAGGTGACCCTGCCTCGGACAGGGTGATCTCCAGAATGCCTTTCCAACCCCAACCATTCTGCCATTCTGTGACGGCTGCAGAGCCCCGTTTTCCGTCGCGAACCCCCCGTCACGTCGGTCCGGAGGCTGTTCCCGCGGGCCGGAGCCGCTGCGCCCTCACGAACCGTCCGCGCCGCCATCGCTGCGGGGTGGTCATGGCCCCCGCGAGGGCACCCGAGATCTCGCGAGACTCCGGCATCGCAACTAGCCGCGCGTGTCAACATCTCGCGAGAGCAGGAGTCACACATTCACGCACGCACACACCCCCGCGCGCGCGCGCGCGCCGCCGCGGAACGCTCTCTGATTGGCCCCCGTCCGACCCGCCAACCAATGGGCAGGCGCCTTGTGGCCCCGCCCCTTCCCTCGCGCTCTCCCCCCTCGCCCCTCCTTCCTCCCCCGGCGCGGCTGGGGGGGGCGCGCGGTGCACGCCGGGACGGCAGCGCGCGCCGCGGCCGGGAGGAGGCGGAGGAGCCAAGATGGACGCCGGGTTCTTCCGCGTAAGTGCCGGGGCCCCGCCGAGGCCCTGAGGCCGGGCGGCGCGGCGGCCGCCGCCCCGCCACGGGGCGCGGGGAGGGGACAGGCCGAGCCCGCTGCGTGAGCCGCGCTGGGGCCGCGCTGCTTCGCGCGGCGGCCCGAGCTCCCTTCCCCCCCCCCCTCCTCCCCGCGCCCTGCGCAGGCTCCTCGCCGCGGAGAAAATGGCGGCGGCGCGGCCCGAGCGGGAGCGTGAGGGGAGCGGGCGGGGGAGGGAAGGATCGGCGCTGGGAGGATCCTCGCCGGAGGGATTGTCCCCTTCCAGCGGGGAAGCTCCTTGGCCGCCCCCGGTCTCAGGGCCCGACCCACGCGGGGCCCTGTCACGGCTGCGACCCCCGGAGCCCCCCGGGCTGTGGGAGGGGGAACCGGGCCGAGAGGCCGCGGGGGGCGAGCCCCGCTCTGCGCTGACCACGTTCTGCGGTGTCCGCGTCCGAAGCGACCAAACAAACCTGCCCCCTTTTTTTTTTTTTTTCAAGAGAGGGATTTTTAAGGTTGTTAAGTGTATTCATGGCAAAATGAAGTTATGCCTTATTCTTAACCTTGATATCTTATTTTAATCACTGAGTTTTGTCTCTCCATTGCAGCCATGCTGCATTTTCTGCAGAGGCCATTAAACCTGCCCAGGGTCTTAGTTCTTTTCAGCTTTTTCTTCCATTAATTGGAACGACCTTAATTTTTGTTTTCCCTAGTAATTTTGAAAGCCAGTTTAAATTTTCAAGGTTCATTCACTTGTTCTTTTCAATTTCTGCAACTAGGAGGCTTTTAAAACACTGCACCCTTCCCTCAGTTCAGTTTTGTGTTGAGAAAAATAATTACGAGTTAAATCTACACTTGTTCCAGCGCAGTTGTTACAAAGTTTGTAAATCAAGTGGTTGTAATTGACAGCACAATTACTGGGGCTGAAAACACTGAATTAGAAATCTAACATTCTTTTAAACTGGCCTGTGAAGGTGACATTTTATAAGAACAGAAGCAACATGGCACTGAAATGGGGCTGTGAACAGTGTTCTGGCTTTAGTCTGGGTCCTGGAGGAACCAAAGTTCTTGTGAAATGACACAAGTGTAGCAGAGCAGCAGTTTGGACTCCCTGTCTCAAGAAAGCTCCTATTAATAGTCCTTTCAGTTCTTCACACGTGTGTAAAGTTTCAGTGCAAACTGTTTTGTCTCTGTGTTTAAGTTCCTGTAGCCCTCGTGCTCTGTCCCTTTGGTTCCCTTTGCCTGTTGCCACGTGTTAGAAACAGGGTACAAAAAACTTCCTTCCTTTCTGGGTTGTGAAAGAATTGAAGAAAAAAGCAAAACCCCAAAAGAACATTAAATTGCTGGGTGAACTGGCAAGTCTGTTTGTTGTGAGCCACACAGCAGACTGCAGATGTTGTAAAGAGTTTTAAACAGGCTTAATCCTGTTAAGTGCCTGTGCCACAGGCAGTCTTTAGGATTCCCATGTTCTGGAATAGCAAATGGGAATGTCAGTAGTTTGTTCCCTTTCAATGTGTGATGACTTTGCAGCCTGTCATGTTGCTAATTCCGGGTGCTTTCTGACCAAAGTGGTTGGGGAGCTTAGAATTTTGAGTTTTTTTCTTATTTGTTATCATTTGGTTCATTGACAGCTTCTGTTGTTGCTGGTGCTGAGCCCCTTCCTCCAGGCACAGGGAATGACATGGATTAAATTCCGTGTTTTCCATCAGTCACGTTGTTTTCCTGAATAAACTTCCCAGGCTGTGGGTTTGTTCTGAATCCTTACCAGCCCATCAGGGTTTGGCTGTAGCTCTGCACTTCCTCTTATTCCTGTCTGGTTCTGTTGACTTCTCTACAAGTAAGTTTTCCAGAACTGAACTTCCAGGCCTTTCCCTTCCAAATGAATTAACCTGCAGTGTCTGTCCATGCAGGTGGAATGAGTTGGTCAACTTTTAACAGAGGAGGATCAATAAAAGAGTATTCTTTGTACCCTTCTGGCTCCCAGGGGGGTGGTTTGCCCCAGACAAGTTACCCAGGGGTTTCAGAGATAATCACTGTAAGCAAATAGGGCATTTCTGTTCCTGGACAGAGGAAAAAGACTTTATTCCTTCTGGGAAGTTTGTGCATTCCAGCACAAACCCTTTTCCTGGCAGTTTGAGACTCCTGGACTTTAATTTGTGAGCAGTTTTCCAGGGGAGGGTTATGATTGAGGTGTCACTGTGGGGCTCAGCAGCTGCTCACCCCAAACCCCTCAGCAGCAGGGAAAGGCTGTCGTGCTGAACACACCTGGAAAGGCTTATTTTGCCTGAAATAATTAAAAAAAAAGGACTTACAGGATGGTTTCACTGGTGCTGCTGTGCTCTGTCCGGTGCAGATATGTGGGGAAATAATCCTTGGAAGTGGTTGAATGTCCTACAGGCTGAAACTGTTGTTTCCTGTGCTCCAGGGAACCAGTGCAGAGCAGGACAATCGCTTCAGCAACAAGCAGAAGAAGCTGTTGAAGCAGCTGAAATTTGCAGAATGCTTAGAAAAGAAGGTAAGTGGCTTGGGGTGAGATGGGAAGTAAGACACACCAAGCAAAGAGGTTTTTCAGTGGATGAATTGGGTATCAGATGGAACATAGGGGAAGGTGAGGAATGTCTTCCCTGAAACCACCCCGGAGGATATTGGAGTGTCAAAGACAGAGCAGTGCTATCCATGATCTGGTCACAGCACTAAATGCACCTTCAAAAGAAGTCAGTTTTCCAGCAGATATTAACAATTTGGAATTCTGGGCATCCTCAGATGCAGCCCCCCCAGTGCCCTTTTTTGGGGTGGTGTTTGTTGTTGTTGTTTTGGGTTTTCTGGAGCAGTGTGCTGGTTGTGGGGACATTCCTGCAGTGACACAGACCAGGGCAGCTGCAGGAACAGTTCAGGGTTCCTTGCTGAGCTGCAGAGCTTTGCCCTGTGGAATTCCCTGGGATTGTAGGGAGGGAGTGTCCCTCAGGTGGGTGGATGGGATGCTCCCAAGGCAGCTGCTGTTGGGAGATCCCTGGTCATTCAGTGTTTTATTTCAGAGCACAGAGCTGGTGCTTCCTTGGGCTTCCCAAATGTGCTGATAAAGCTGCTGAGATAGCTGTGGTGAGACCCAGCCAAGCTGAGAGTAGAGCTCAGCCTGGGAGGGTTTGGGTTTTGTAAATGACATAAACTGATGTCTGGAAGAATTGCATTCCAAGGAATTCAAAGCCTTGTGTCATTCCTACTGTTTCCCAAAGGTGATAATGTGGTCGTAGTTTCTGTGGATGGAGGCATGAATAAAACATCCACAGATGTTTATTTCTGTAGAGAAGTGGGCTGTGCTCTAATCTGGGGTGAGGATTTTGTAAATTAAGACTTTTGGAATGGTTGAATTCTCTCCTGACATTGAGTGCTTCATGATTTTTGGGAAGTTGTTGAAGTCTGGGGGACAGGAGTCAGGGGAATGGGTGAGCTGAACTGAGATTTGCTTTATCATTTAGTGGGCTTCACTATTTGCTGGAAGCTGGATTGGGTGAAGGCAGTGACCAGTCCATGGGTGTAGTTTCACTTTTGGTTTTTGTTACTCTCTCCTCTAGCTGATACTTAGGAAAGTTTACTAGAAATCTGCTGTGTTTTGACTTTTCTTCCCATCTCTAGCTTCTAATTTTAGCTCCTGAGGAGACATAGGAAAATCTATATTAGGAAAAGTAAAGTCCTAGTGTCCAAAGGTGTGCTTTGATCCAACTGTAACCTCTGCTGAACAAGGGCAGAGTGGTGTGAAACAAAACTGGGCTGAGGTGATCGTGTAGCAGCATAAAATTGAGTGTGTGCAGTGAAAGAATTCAAAGCACTGTGAGCTCCTGTGTTCAGTGAAAGGGCTTGTTGTGAAAATGTTGTTTCTTCTGGCTCTTTGCTATAGGTGGACATGAGCAAAGTAAATCTGGAAGTAATCAAACCATGGATAACAAAACGAGTAACGGAAATCCTTGGGTTTGAAGATGATGTAGTAATTGAATTTATATTCAACCAGTTGGAAGTGAAGGTAACAGTTTTGTTGTGGCTATTGTTTCTAAATGTGTAACATAATTGTTATGAATTCTATTGAATCTGTGAATTTCTCAAGTACAGTTAGGAGGGGTTTTTTGTTACTATGTATATTTTTGAAAGAAATTCACTGTGTAACAGCTGTAAGGCTGGAAGTTTAGCGAAGGTGCATAGTTTGCAAACTGCTCAGGTGAAAAAAAAAAGAAATCAAACTTACTGTTTTAATTTTGCTGTTACATGTTAAGTTACTTTGACAGCAATTTTCTAATGATGATGTGATTTATGATTTAAAAGGCCTGAACCAAAATGGAAGTTATTCCTTGCGTCTGAAGTATAGCACCATCACCTTATTAGGTCACAGCAGAGTGAGTGTCCAATGTCGCTCTGACCCAACTCCCTTGATGATGCAGTGTGTGTTTGGAGGTGAGTTGTGTAAAGTGGCCGAACCAAAAACATCCAGGAAAGAGCAATTGGGCAAAGCTTTACACTGCTCTTGAAATTACTGTAAAGTAGATCAGGTTTTTTATGTGCAGCATGAGGGGAATTCTGAACTTGGATGGTATTTTAATGGAGAGTGCTGGAGTCAGTTTAGAGGCCAGATCTGTAGATCTCTGTTAATTTTTTCTGTTGTTAATTACTGGAGGCAATATATCCAGATAGTATTTGTATTTGCTGTAGTTAATCTTCAGACTGATACAGTATGAACATTATTGAGATCATTTAATGCAGTAAACGTGTGAAGGGTATGAATAAAATGAGGTGGTAATACACTCAGTTTTTCTTAATATCTACCACTGTGCCACTGCAACCCAAGGGACAGTAAAAGATGTACAATATGAATTATTGGCAAACATTCTCATGCTGATGTACTTTACACTTAATCTTTCTTCCTAAGAGTTCAACCTTTGTGTTTTGAGAGAACAGTTGGCATTTCAACTGATAAAGGTATTGCTGTTTAAAAAAAAAAACCTTTAAATTTCGCTTTATTCTGAAGAGATTAGTATCTGTTTCATGAATATTTAGATGCTTTTATGTATAGAGAACAAAAAGGGGAAATAAGTTTAAGTGCTAAGCTAACTAAAGCCAGGGTTCGTAATAGGAAATGTTTTTTATCATGTGTTAGTGTAATACAATCTGAATACTCATTTTAATTCCCCTTGTACTGAGCATGATTAAAGTTTTTTAGAACTTTTTTTAAAAAAAAAACAATCTTTTCTTTTTTTGTGGTTGTGTACTCATTATTGCTTGTTCGTCTTTTGCAATTTAGATAAATGATATAACATTAAACTCAAGGTGGTTGAGTTGCAGTAGGGAGTCGGAAGCAAGCCAAGGGAACATCTTTCTCTACAGGGGACTTGGCGATTCCAAACCCCTCCCAAGGTTCCAAGAAGAAACTGAAGACACCTGGAATCTGTACTTGCTTTGTGCTGTTGAGCTGTGCTTGTTATATGGACCTTGTTGCTTGACCAACAACCAACATTAGAATTTAAAAAGCCCACTTTTAACTTTGAACCTCTTTGACCTCTTAACCCTTTGTGGCCATGACACGATGACTTTGAGGAGAACCTGTAAGGCACCTGTGTAGTGTGTGCTCCCTCAGGCAGGCAGAGTGGAGTTTTGGGAGGAAGTCAGAAAATGCATGCATGACTCTTGACCTTTCACAGCAGGATGTGAGGGATTAGCAGGATGTCATCTCCAGTTCTTAGGCACTTACACAGCTTCTGTCCGTTGTGCAGATATTAAGAAAGATTTCCAAGCAAACAGAGTCAAAACCATCAGGAAAAAAAAAATGTTTAGAGCATAGTTCTAAAATCTTGTAGCAGCATTGTAAGGGTGTGTTAAATTAAAGGCCCCCTGATTTCCTGTAGAGCAGCTACACGGTCCAAAAATACTTATGAAACCCACAAAGGATTAACAGGCCTTTCTGAATATTTATGGTAAGACACAAAAAAAAAAAGAAAAAATATTAGTACAATAAACTTATATTGATGAGAAATCACTAGGGAAAGATTTAAAAAAAAAATAGTTCTTGAGTGTATATGTATTTTAGCCCCCATGGTAGTTTTAATTAAAGTTTGATATAGACTGACTGTTGTTTTTTCAGATAACCGGTTTGTCTTCCTGTCATATCTCTTTGCAGAACCCAGATTCCAAAATGATGCAAATCAACCTGACTGGTTTTTTGAATGGGAAAAATGCTAGGGAGTTCATGGGAGAACTGTGGCCACTGCTATTAAGTGCACAAGAAAACATTGCTGGTATTCCAACTGCATTTCTGGAACTGAAGAAAGAAGAAATAAAACAGCGACAGGTAGGATCTTTTTTTAAATGGAATTGTGGATGGGTCCTGTGAGCACTGGGCAGAATTTGATGGCTGTTTCAGTAGACATTTTGAGTTCAGCAGAATTCTGCTGTCTGGGCAACATCTTCTAGACCTGAAGCAGTTATTTGTTGGTGTTGGACATACATATTTGATAAGGTCTTTGTGCTGCCTCTGAGTTAAGTGGTGATATTTGGTTGCACAGATAGAGCAGGAGAAACTGGCTTCCATGAAGAAACAAGATGAAGACAAGGAGAAGAGAGATAAGGAAGACAAAGACAACAGAGAAAAAAGAGACAGATCCAGGAGTCCAAGAAGGTAATGAAAATGCACTGACAATGTATCAGGAATATGGTAGAACAGAGGAAGGACACGTGGCAGAGGAAAATTAATGGAACTTTGGAAATAGTCCCCTTAGCTATTGTAGCAGGCTGGCCTGACTTACTGCAGAACAGGAATTGCAAGTAAACTAGAGGTGCTTTGACACGGGTGTTGTTTGCACTGGGAGCTGTTTTTAGTGCGTTGTCTGTTCCAGGCTTTGTTGGTTTTGGTTTGGGGGGTTGGATTTTTTGTTTGCACCTTAGTTTGTCCGTGAGTTACCGGCAGAGAATGCAGTTCTCTGTGTGTGTGTTGGCTACTGTAACTGGTGCTGAGGGTCTCCCTGATCCAGAAGAGCTTCCAGCCCTGGCTATCCCAGCGTTATTCAGTGGCTCTTCCCTTTGCCAGGCGCAAGTCCAGGTCTCCCTCCCCTCGGCGAAGGTCGTCGCCGGTGCGCAGGGAGCGGAAGCGGAGCCATTCCCGCTCCCCCCACCACCGGACCAAGAGCCGCAGTGCCACTCCTGCCCCGGAGAAGAAAGAGGCCACTCCTGAGCCAGAACCCTCCGTGAAACCAAAGGAGACCGTTGTTCAAGAGGCAACTTCAAACAGGTGAGTGGGAGAACTCTGGGTGTAGAACTGTGGATCGCCTTTGAAAAATGAAAGTTGGCTCAATGCCTCATTGGGGCTTGACTTGGGGTCATGCTTCTCCCTGTGCCCCTGCAACAACCAAAGAATTCATGTAATAATCTTCACTTAATAATCTTCTCTTAATAATCTTCATTGAATAATCTTCAGTAAGATTTCTTTTCCCTGTGTAGAATTCTAAGGGCAGTGTGGCTTTGCTGTCACTGTGATTTCATTGTCCTGGTCATTATTTTCACTTCCTGACAGCGTCATCTTGTCTCCCAGCACTTAGCCTGTGTGTTACCTTTTCTTCTCTTGGAATCCTTGTACCATGTTCTAACTCTTTTTACAGTTTTGGAGCATCTTGTCAGAGGATGGGCAGGAGAATGTTTGTTGTAGGGGAATATCTGGATACTCTCTGGGCTGTGGTTTGTATGCGCTTATAAATAAAGTCTTTATTTTTAACAGTGATATCCCAAAAGCTCCTAAACCTGAACCTCCTGTACCAGAGACTAAGGAAACTTCACCAGAACGTAATTCAAAGAAGGAGAGAGAGAAGGAGAAAGAGAAGACTCGTCAAAGATCCCCAACTCGGTCCAAGTCAAGGTCAAGATCTCGATCCCGTTCTCCGTCTCATTCTCGACCCAGAAGGCGTCATAGATCACGGTCCAGGTAGGACTTCAAGTGACTGTGGAGGTTGAGAATGAATACTTTCTGCTGAAGGTGCCACTTATTGTTCTTGGTTAGTGATGTTTTTAGAGATGTTGAGCTGTGGATGTTTTAGGCCAAATGAGAAAGATGCATTTGATGCATAAACGTGTTTGGGAGTGTTTCCTTTCTATCGGTTCATGAGAAGCTACTCACAGTGACCAACACTGGCTGGAGAAGGGATTGGGCTACTTAATACTGAATATGGCATTTGATAGATAATGGGAATTGTGTAGCCTTTCTTTAGGAGATGTGTTTGTTGCTGAAGATGTTGTAAAATACTTGTGTGTGAATGTACACTTTGCATCTTAACCTAAATGCTGCCTCAATATGATGCACTTGGAGAAAAGCAACTCAACACTCGGTGCCCTGAGGATAAATTTCCTCCAGTCTGTGAATTAGATAGTTGCTTTTCATTGGAATTTCTGATCATGACAGGTCTTACTCCCCTAGAAGGCGACCGAGCCCCCGCCGACGGCCGTCCCCGCGGAGGAGGAGCCCACCCAGGCGAATGCCTCCCCCACCCAGGCACAGAAGAAGCAGGTCCCCCGTGAGGAGGTAAGATTCCTGCTTTTTGAGACAGCTGAAAGTGTTAAACTTGGAGAGCTGAAGGGAACACTAGTGGTGAGGAGGAAGTGTTAACAGAATGGCCTCGTTCGTCTCACCTTCGTGCTGTCAGGTGTAGGATTAGAGGGATGGAAATGCTGCACGGTCACATTTCCTGAGTGTGTGGTGGGGGAACACAATTGTAGCTGTGAAATGATTTCTTCTGACTGAGGTGGAGTTCTCATCACTATTCTTTTTGAAAAGTGGCAAGTTCAGAACTATTACTTCTTCAAATGGCTCTGGGTAGCTCCCAGCATAGATTGACATTACATCTCTTAAGACTTTTTTTACTTGAGTCTTACTACCTTTTTCCCCCTACCTGGGGAAAAAAATGAGAACAAGTAACTGGATTTTAGTTTTAGAAGTTTTTTAATTGTGACTTAAATTTCCATCACATAAAATGGAAACCAAAATCAAATTTGGACTTGAAATGTGTTTCTTCTTCGTGTTATTTTACTTAAAAACCTTCAAGGTCTGCTCTCTGGTGTTGGAATTTACAGTTTTGAAGCATAAGCAGTGGTTCTAGTAGCAAAACTCTCAGTTGCCTTGCAGAGTAAATTATGTGGTTGTGGCAATGGCAAAATAGACATTTGTCTTCATGGGGAGAGAAGAGATTCTTATCCTCTTCATAGGAAGAGAATTAAATTGATGCTTCCTGTGTACAGCAGTTGTTCTTTTTGAGGAAGGAACACTTCTTCCTTTTTGTGACAAGGTGTGACTATTTCCTGAGTTTGTCAATATGTTCATTTCACACAGTTACTGGGAAAACTGTGAACAGTATCAAACATGTATGTTGCAAGATGTACAAGAGCTCCCTTTCAGCAAATGTTTATCTCACTCAAGGTAGGGTTTCTTTTTTCCAGGTTCTCAGGAATTCTGCAGCCAAAGGTGGATTCTGCAGGTACACAATTGCAACAGAACTTGCCACAAATTTTGCCGCAGAATTCTGAGGCCCTACCTTTTAAAATTTGCAAAGTAAAGATGAAAGACTAAAACATCAGGATGGATAGATTGATTCTGAATTGTTAAGTCCTTAAGTTGTCTGAAATTTTGACCTCCTGGTATTAAGCCATTTCAGTGTACTTGCACACTAAACTCTATTTATACAGATCTGTCCTGAAGATCGTTAAATCACACGTGCTAACACAGAGAATTCTCTTAACCATCCAAAAGTTAGAGAGCCCAAACAAAACTAATTGTTCCCAGGGGAAAAGCTTAGTGGTAGCCTGTAGATTGACAGAAAGCCAGCGAAGGTGACACTAACAATTTTTAGCTCACTATGTAGTTTAAGAATAACTATGAAAGATTGGTTGTTATTCTCCTCTTCTACCAACCAAGTGTTGAAGGCTGCCCACCGTGTTTTGGAAGTGCTGTTGTCTGTGGCTCAATGTCTGTGCTTGCAAACAACTGCAGTTCTGTGTTCGTGCTGCGATGCCCACGGTCCGTCTGCCCGGGCTCTAACGTGGCCTTGGATTTGCAGGAGAAGACGCTCCTCGGCCTCCTTATCCGGCAGCAGCTCTTCCTCCTCCTCCTCGCGCTCCCGCTCTCCGCCAAAGAAGCCTCCCAAAAGAACCGTGTCCAGCCCTCCTCGGAAAACCCGCCGGCTCTCCCCTTCCACCAGCCCTCCTCGGCGGAGGCACCGACCGTCGCCGCCCCCGAGCCCCCCGCCCAAACCCCGCCGGTCCCCGACGCCGCAGCAGTCGAACCGCGCCAGGAAGAGCCGCGGCTCCGTCTCGCCGAGCAGAGCTTCAGGTGAGGGATGATATCTGTGTCCTCCTGGCTCGGCCACATTCTGCTTTTGTGCAGTTTGTAGAGCAGAAAAGCGTGGAAGGGTGTGATGAGTCGCAGCTGAGCGATTTGATTCTTGTCTTGTAGCACCCAAACATAAGAGTACTGAAAAAAGAGAGTCTCCCTCGCCAGCACCAAAGCCAAGGAAGGCAGAGCTGTCGGAATCAGGTAACGGCTCTCGCTTTTCAGCACTGCTTTTGGGTGGGGTTTTTAGTCAAAAATGCATGATAGTAAAGGGCAGTGAGGTGCTGAACCCAATAGTCTGGCACTGAAAGCGAGAGTTTTCAGAAGGCTAAAGATAATCACTCACACTGCCTCATTCTAGATAAGATTTCTTGGAAAAAACCTCAGCCAAAGCGTATTCCAGCCTCAATGTTATCTTAAGATTTGGGGGGGGAAACCCCCATGCTTGATGATCTGCTGTACATGACTTGGCTTCTGCCTGAGTGAGGCACATTTGTACCTTTTGGTTTAAATGTTCTGTCCCTGTGTGTCCTTTCAGAAGAAGACAAAGGAGGTAAAATGGCTGCAGCAGATTCTGTCCAACAGAGGCGCCAGTACAGGAGGCAAAACCAACAGTCATCATCTGGTACGGAGGACAGAAATTTCCTAAAACTGGACTGTAGTTTGCTTTTGCAGGAAGTAGTTAAGGTTAAGTTCAAATGCTGATAAAAATTATCTGCTGTACACTCTACAGTGCTACTGTAAACTTAATTATAGATTTGCCACTCATAGTGAGGTCCCTTTAATTGTTTCTCAGGAAGAATTAAAGTTTAAAGGTTGTTATGTATCTTTTGTTAATGGGTTTGCATCTTTAAAAGTTGCACTTTTAAACTCTTAACATCACACACAGATGTTGTGTGCTGTGGATTATTTTATCTGTTCTTGTTGTAGGTTACTTCCTAATATTTCTCATATTTGGGACTCTTTTATTCTTGAGATCACTAAATTCACCTTGGCCTGGTGTAGGTTTTTGTCCACGCAATGTTTCTATAAGTGACTGCAGTTCACCTTCTAAATTACCTGGTTGATCAAATTTTATGGGGACAGTTGGGTTGCTGCAGGTATTTTTACCCAGCTCTGATGGGTTTATTTACCACTTGACTTCAGCCCACGTTTTTCGTTGAACCGCTTTTAGATGGCGGCTCCTCATTTGGCGGGAGAGGAGGTTGGGGGCTGGCATCAGTGTCTGTGATGAGTGTAACGAGGATCACTTCCCAGAGAGTGATTCTTCTACGTTTATAGATTCTGGTTCTTCATCTTCCTCTGAAGAGGAAAGACCCAAGAGGTCCAACGTGAAGAACGGGGAGGTCGGCCGACGCCGGCGCCACTCGCACTCCCGCAGCCCCTCGCCGTCTCCACGGAAACGACAGAAGGAGTCCTCCCCTCGGTAATTCCTTCTTAACTCGAGCATAACTGACATCTTTTTTTTTTCTATTTGTTGTTGTTTATCTGCTCTGCATCTGTCAGCAAATACATCACAGTTAAGTCATGTCCAACTCGCCCAATCTCGTTTCAAGGTTTCATTCCTGCTGTGCTCATTTAGCGAAAATGACTCTGACCTTTCTTTGAGTGTGTTGATTTTTTTGCCTCGGATACCTGGCAGATAGATTTGTTTTGTTCTGTTTTTTTCCTCCACTGCTCTCAGGATGCAGATGGAAAAGAGGTGGCAATCGCCAGTGATGAAAAGGTTGGTTAGAAATTCATCTGTTAAATAGGATTTACATCTAGAAAATCATTTAGACTGGCTGTCATTTATACTGTCATGGATAAGTACTTGTTGTCCTTTGGGTTTGCACACTCAAGGTAGTAAGGTGAGGGAAATTCAGACTGCTGGGTTCCTTGATGTGTTGGATCTGGGGCCATTTCACTGGGGAGAAAAAAAAAAGAGGAGCAACACCTGCTCTGTCTCCTTCCCTGCTCACTGCTTGTTAATTCACATCAGCCTTTGACATTAATAACATTGGTGTTACTGACATCTTACTGATACCTGCAAACACCTGAACACTTGTGTTCTTTGGGGTTCCTCACCCCAAATACCTGGTTTGAAGGATGGCTGAGCAGTACTGGATTCCTGCTGCCACTGAGTAAAACCCTCCAGGCCCATTGCAATGAGCAAATGAAATCTTGATGTTCAGGGTCCCAGATAATTGGAGTTTTCAAAAGTCTCATTCCTCAGTTCATTAGATATTTGAAACCACTACGAGTAGACAATTAGTAGACTAGTAGTGAACACCTCCTTTATTTTCTTTTGTGTAGGCAGTATTGTCAACACTTTATTTGTGATATTGTTTTCTCTGTGTTGATCTGGGAATACAGGAAGGTGCAGGAAGCTGGGTGTTTGATGGGTTTATTAATCTGTTGTAATGACCCTTGAGCAGGCTGTAATTAAGCCCCAGCTAGAAGATACTCACAGCATACATCATGATGTAAGAGATAAGTAGGACAACTACCATTCTAATGATGGATCTTGTCAAACAATTCTGTGTAAAACAGGTTGCAATTCAAAGGGTTTGATCTGTTTTGCAACATGCTGAATTCTCCAACTGCCTATTGCATAAATGTATGTTTAATTAGGACAATTAGCACCTTTGAAGGCTGGGGTTTTTTGGAATCATAAAAGAACATTGTATTTTGAATCTCAGTTTATGTAGATGAGCTGCTTTACTTTATAATTGCTTTCATTTTTCCCTTATCCAGTCATTTTATCTTAATTGCTTTTTTTAAAAAGAATATTTTACCAATATTCCCCTCCTTTAAAATTCTAGGCAAGTATGTGTTGCATTAAAATTTCCCCTCCCAGAAGTCTGTTGTAAACCTGGCACAGCAGAAAATGGCTCAATTTGTGAATAATTTTAATCCAGATAGCTGCAGTTTAGCAACAACTCTGATTTTTTTTTTTTTCTCTCTGCATTTCAAGTGAAAATGATTTTGGATTTCAGATCCGTAGCTAAAAGCTGGTTTTGGGGGTGCAGTTTCACACTGTGGAGAAAATTAACTCGGCACATTATCCATCAGTTATTCCAAACATTTGGAATACCTTTGGCCACATCTTTGGCCACAAGATGGTGATGCATCAGGTCGTGCAGAGGGTGGAATTGTCCCTGATGGGCTCAGAGTTACAGTAAAACACGTCTTGTCTCACACTCTTTAGAAAGACTTCAGTCTGTTTTTCCCCCATGGTTCCAGTAGGGTTTCATTTCGAAGGAGGTGATTTTGTGTAGTGAAAGCAGGACAGAGAAGAACCTTTTAGAGGTTTTCTGGAGGTTTTCTGCAGGTTTGCTGAGCAGTGCCTTTCTCTCTGCAGCAGGAGGAGGAGGAGTCCCTCTCCACCCCCGGCGCGGCGGCGACGCTCGCCCTCCCCGGCCCCCCCTCCCCGGCGCCGGCGCTCCCCGTCCCTGCCCCGGCGAAGGTACCGCGGCCTGTTCCCTTCCCTCTGGGACAGGGGAAAAGAAATACCCTCTCACCAGTTCCTTGGCTCCCAGCTTGCTGGGGAGATTGTGGGTGGTGGGTGCGTGGCCTGGATGGCACTGGATGCCTGGAGCAAATCCGGAATTGCGGATCATGGAGTGGTTTGGGTTGGGAGGGACCTTAAAGCTCGTTCAGTTCCATCCCCTGCCATGGGCAGGGACACCTTCCACTAGCCCAGGTTGCTCCAAGCCCTGTCAAACCTGGCCTTGAACACTTCCAGGGATGGGGCAGCCACGGTTTCTCTGGGCAACGAGTTTTAAAGAATTTTAGTTTGAATTTTTAGAAGCCTTAAAAGAGTTTCCTTTTAAATTTTTAGAACTTTTAAAGGATTTTAGTTTGAATTTTTAGAAGTCTTGAAGGAGTTTCCTTTTAAATTTTTAGAACTTTTAAAGGATTTTAGTAGAAGTTTTAAAGGATTTTAGGAGAAGTTTTGAAGGATTTTAGGAGAAGTTTTGAAGGATTTTAGGAGAAGTTTTGAAGGATTTTAGGAGAAGTTTTAAAGGATTGTAGTAGAAGTTTTAAAGGATTCGAGTGGAAGTTTTAAAGGATTCGAGTGGAAGTTTTAAGGGATTTTAGAAGAATTCTGTTTCCCCTCCTTGGGTGAGTTGCAGGACTGATTCCCAGGCCCGGATGGCACCTGACTCTTGGTTCTCTCTGCAGGTCTCCCTCCCCGCCCCCTCGCAGGCGCTCTCCCTCTCCCCGGCGATACTCCCCCCCTATCCAGAGGCGATATTCTCCATCACCACCTCCCAAGAGAAGAACAGCTTCCCCTCCTCCCCCTCCCAAACGAAGGGCGTCCCCTTCCCCGCAGTCGAAGCGCAGAGTCTCCCACTCGCCGCCTCCAAAACAGAGGAGCTCCCCGACTGCCAAGCGACGCTCCCCTTCCGTGTCTTCCAAGCACAGGAAGGGGTCTCCTCCCAGCAGGTCCAACCGGGAAACGCGTTCCCCACCGCAAAACAAAAGGCATTCACCCTCGCCACAGCCTCGAGCTTCCCACCCCTCTGCCAGCCCACCGCCGCCGCGCAGGGGAGCGTCAGCGTCGCCCCAGAGGAGACAGTCCCCATCTCCCAGCTCCAGACCCATCCGCAGGGTGTCCAGGACGCCTGAACCCAAGAAGACAAAGTAAAACGATCCATCTTTTGCTGCTTTGGGTTTCACGAGGGGTTTTGGTTTTGTTGTCGGGGGGTCGCAGAGTCTCGTATTGGTTTGGGCTGCAGGGGACCTTAAAGATCATTTTGTTCCACCCCCCTGCCATGGGAAGGGAGACCTTCCACTAGCCCAGGTTGCTCCAAGCCCCATCCAACCTGGCCTTGGACACTTCCAGGGATGGGGCAGCCACAACTTCCCTGGGCAACCTGTGCCAGGGCCTCCCCACCCTCTGAGTAAATAATTTCTTCCCAGTATCCAATCTAACCCTGCCCTCTGTCAGTTTAAAACCATTCCCCCTGTCCTGTCACTACTTGCCTGCATAAAAAGTCCCTCTCCCTCCTTCTTATAAGCCCCCTTGAGGCACTGGAATGCTGCCATGGGGTCTCTCTGAGCCTTCTCTTCTAATTGCTGGCTTTAAAGAACAATGAACTTTATCTTTAAACCTAACTGTGGAAGGGAACCAGCACTTCTCATTAGCTCATAAATAATTTTGCAGGTGGTCATCTGAGAGAAGCTATTAAAATTCAAAATATTTTTGTCCTTACTGTGATGCTGTTCTTATGAGCAGATAATCAAAAATATGGTGGTGGCTTATTGTTTTGGGAAGATGTAGCTGAGTGGAAAGCCTTGCACTCTTCATTGGGTGATCCAATAACATTGCTGTTCTCTTGACTTTTAATGAGTTAGTGATATTAGGAAGGGAGCAATCACTCCTGAGCAGCAGCAGGATTGTTTAACAGGCTCTCAGGCTGCATTATCCTTCTGCATCACAGACCCACAGTGCTATTGGATTGTTTGGCCTTTTGTAACGTGCCAGCAAAGCAATTAATAATCTTCTAAGTGGCAGCTTGACCAAGTTATAAGCACACATATAATTTGGCTCTTTGGTTAGTTTTTACTTGTGTCTCATGCCTGACTGTGACTCTTCTGTTTTTCAGGGCTTCCACCCCCAGCCCCCGGCGCGTGTCCTCGTCTCGCTCGGCCTCGGGGTCACCCGAACCAGCACCCAAAAAGCACCAAGGACCTGCATCTCCTGCTCGCTCTCGTTCTCCCTCTGCCAACTGGTCACCTGCAAAAAAGGCCAAAAGCCCAACTCAGAGCCCCTCACCTGCCAGGGTATTTGTTTGCTCATAAAGCCATGCTGGGTTATAGCGCAAGTTGTGTTCCTGAGCAGCTCTGAGGTTGTTCACACAGAGGGGGAAGAAAAAACCTTGGGGTGTTTTTCATAGTTAAAAACAATTTGTAACATGAATTTTTCAAACTTAACATCTCAGAGTGTGAACACGAGTGCTATTTATATAGAAATTGTGGAAGAAAAGTCCCATTTTATGAGTCTACATGAGTTTTGTGGTGTCAAGTGGGGCGGGCTTATTTGTGCTTGGTAATCTTGCATGCAAACTTTAGGCTATTCCTAGCAGGAAGAGAGCAGATTGTTTGGCATCCTTACCTGAGGTGTTTCCCAGGGACACTTCCACTCTTTGCCAGAGACTTTGGAAGCCTTAGGGATGGGTTGTAATATGTTGCATTGTTCGTTACAGAATTCAGATCAAGAAGGGGGCGGCAAGAAGAAGAAGAAAAAGAAGGATAAGAAGCATAAAAAGGATAAAAAGCACAAGAAGCACAAAAAACATAAGAAGGAGAAGGCGGCCGCGGCCGCAGCAGCTGCTGCTGTGGCTGCAGCAGACACCACCTCAACACAGGAAGACCAGGAAGCAGAGACAGAACCCAAAAAGGTGGGAATTTGGTACCTGAGCTGTACTTTGTAAGGCTCCAGTGTAAGAAGGCAGGTGGGGGTGGCCGTGCCCTGCACTCCTGGGGACTGACAGTGGTGATTCCAGAAAGAGCCTTGGTGTGTGGCGGGTTTCCCTTCGGGATTTGTGGCGTTGGGAGGGCTCGGCCTGGCTCCGTTTGGGTGTTTGAAGCAGGGCTTTGTCTTTGTTTGAAGGAGACAGAAAGTGAACCTGAAGACAACCTGGATGACCTAGAGAAGCACTTGCGAGAGAAGGCCCTGAGGTCCATGAGGAAGGCGCAAGTATCCCCACCATCCTAGGCCCGGCCCTTTGATATAATGTACATTTTATTTGGTTTGTACTCAGAATTCAATTTCAAATTGCTAAATGTGTTTGAGCTTTAGAATATAACATTTGTTGTAATAATTGCTAGGTTGAGGTTCACCATGTACAAAAGGGCATGGATTTACATTACAAAAGGTGTCCACAGTGTACTAGTGACATTCTTTCATTGACAGCATAATTTCATTTAGAGTGAGACTTCTTAGAAGCAGTAGGAATTTTGTTTTGAAGGTTTGAAACATGACCGTCAATTCCCTTGTTTCTTTGAACTCCAACAAAGCCTTGAGCATAATTTGTGAGGGTCTCATTTGACTTCTTTTGTATCCACTTACATGATGCTACTAACCTTTGTGGTTTGTAAGCTTGCCCAGGAGTAAAACCACTGCAGAATTCCAAGGAAGTACATCCATATTTTAATGCTTTCTACTGTTGCCTGTATAGTCTCCATTAAAGCCAATCAAGAATAGCAATTTAGAATGGTACACAAATGAAAGCATGTTGTTTACCAGGACACTGTGGGTTTATATTGATGTTAACATGTTGATTTGGAACACTGGAATTTCATTTGTATTTTTATGTTCTTTTTTTAAAGGGCAGTTTCCATGATCAGCAGTCCCAGAAAAAAAAAAATAATAATTCCTTCAGTTCCATAAATTTTGTTTGTGAGCTGTCGTTGCCCCAATTCATAAATCTTGTCTCGTTACGGTTCTTCGGAATGGTCAGAGCAACTTTCAGAGATGTGGTCTTTGAAAGTGTGAGGAACCTGAACTTTGGATATTGTCATGTTTTCACTGTTCTTTGTTTTTGTTTTTTTAACTAAAGCTATATAAAGCTTGTGGATTAAACAAAATAAATTTCTAAATTTAAACAGATGTTGGCTATTTTTATATGGGCATTTTACATTTGCTAATCAGCTTTCTTTTGTACGAGGTTCATGAATACTCAAAGAGATGAAAAAGTATTTGATCCAGTGTGCTGGCTCTGGAAAAATTGGGGCTTTTAACTGTCCTGAGGGAGCAGGAAGAGCCCTTTAATTAGTGATGCTCCTGTTGTGTTCTTGCAAAGCAAGAGTCAAACAGCCTTATCTGGTCAGCACTGATAGGATGGAGAAGCTTAAAACAAACCAAACGTGTGCTGTGGAAATGGCTTGTCAGAGCAAATAAAATGTTTCAAGGTCCTGCAAAATATGAACAGCAGGTTTAATTAACTTAGTGAAGGAGTCGTAGTTGTGTGAGGAATCTGAGGAATCCTGGGGGCTCACTGCCTTTCCATAATCATGGAATCACAGCGTGGTTTGGGTTGGAAGGGACCTTAAAAGTTACCCAGTTCCAACCCCCATATCATCATACTGGAAACTTGCTGGATTACTGCTGTTGAATTCTTTTAAAAACTCAAGCTGTGCTTCTGAAATCAAATCAGTTCTGAAGTCTGGGGTTCCTCTGGAAGGAGGAATGGAACATACTTTTGAAATTTTTTTGTCCTGCATCTGAAGTAGATGTGATGTGTACAATGAAGTGTAGATATTTGATGAGTCTTTTTACTTGCCATCGTGTAGGGTTTTGAACTAAAGCAGGGCTGCTGTAGATCTTGGGTGGAAGGGGATATTTCAAAGTAGCTCCTGCACTTCCTTATGTGCTGCATCTTTGTTTCTTAGCATAAGTATCATTGTATGCTCAAGTGCTTGTAAACCTACTTGAATGGTAGGCAGCTTGAATGTTGAGTATCATCTGTTATTAAAATGTGTATAATAAATTCCAAGAAGCTTCTGGACAAAGACATTTTTAAAAGTACATTTGAGTGGATTTGGTGCTTATGAAGCCACAGCCCCGGATATGGGATGTTCTCCTTCACTTGGATTTTCCCTGGGATGTTCCTGGGCAGCACAAATGACTGGGAGGCTGCAGAGCCCTGGGCTGTGCAGCTCCCAAGGGTTAATTCCTCCTCCTTTATCATCCCAATCTTGCTTCCACCTGGGTTTGGTGACCTCCCAGTGCCTTTTAATCTTAGCACTAATAGAAGTTCTTTAAATATGTTCAGTACCTGACTCACTGCTTATCTTCCCTCACACCTATTTCCATCTCCTGCCTCCAGGACTCTGATAAAGGGCCTCACTGCTGGTTTTGGATGTTCCCCCACCTCTCTCCTTTGGAGTTTCTATTGTTGGTGCTCCCTCCTGTTTTTTCATCTACCCATAAAGAATGGTTTAGGTTTAAAAAGAGCAATTAAATGTGCTCTTTAAGAGGAGTGTAACTTCTAAGTTGTGTTTAGCTGAATATTTTAATTCCTTCCTACTTAACCCATTCAAGTACTAATGTTGTATTTAAATACCAATCAAGGGATAAACCAGCCTTCTCCTGTCCTCTCCTGAGCTCTCACTGTTCTTGCTGCTCTCAGGGCTGTTGCTTAGATGTTTTTTAGCACAGAATCTCTGCTGGGCTGATTTCCATTTGTGTCTGTACAGCAAAGCTTTGTCCTGGGAAGCTGTTGACTGACATCACCGAATTCACTCCTGATCCCCTGATTGAGATCCCATCATCCAAACCCAAACTTGTCTGATCCCTTCACCGCTCCAGCTTCTTGGTTAACCTCTTCTCTCTGTTTTTCATCCTTTTATTTGTAGCTGCTGTAGTTCAGAAAGTGACTGTGCAGGTGCCTGGTGCGACGGGGTGGAAGCTGCGTGGATCTCACTTGCTCTTTTTGTGGTGGATCTGCTAATGCTGAACGTTGGGGTTTTGACCCAGGCCATCTTCCTGAAGTGACAGGTACAGGGTTTAGAGAAGGGACTTGCTGCAGTAATTATATCTAACTGCACAAAATAGCCCCACTCAAGTTTAGTTGGCTTAAATAATTTAACTGAGAACGAGTCTGCTGGAGTGAAGCTGGAGTGAGTCATGGACAGGTCAGTCTCTGTAGCTCACACAAAAGAAAGATGTGTTTGTTGTGTCAACAGGTGGGACAATGGCAGGTGTGTGTGTGTGTGTGCAAGGGTTCAAAGTTTATAGAAACTCGGTGTTGGATTATTAAATTTTTCCACTTGTGTGACTTTGGCAGTTTGCCTGGGAGTCCTGTGAGGAGCTCTCTGAGCTCCACCATTGGGTTTACATTGAAACTAAGTGGTGAATTGCCTCAGGGGACAGAACTGTTCTGCTGCTGCTCTGGACAGGGCCTCGTGCTCTCTGCTGTGATCCCAGAGATAAATGCAGCACTGAGGCAGAGTTCTGTGCTCGGAGCCATCACTAAACCTGGCTCATCAGAGCTCCCTCTGACACAAATGAGGCTCCCGAGCTGACTTCTGGGCAGGGAGGGCTGGAGGGAGGGCTCTGGGCTGGGAGGAGCAGCTCAAACATCCCTGAGCAGTTTTGCACTCTGACTTCATTCCTCAAGCACCAAACCTCCGAATAGGTGAGTTTTGGTATAAAAAGCAGCTCTTGGAGGAGCAGCTTTCAGCAGGGCACGGAGCTGTATTTTGATTGAGTTTCATTTCAGCTGCTGTGTGTGGTAACTTATGATTTAGCACAGGATCATCCCATAAACCCTTGAATTGTCTGCCTAAAGTCCATTGTTGGTGTCACCAACAAATCCAGCAAAGCAGTCACCACCCTGACAGTTCCAGTGGAATTCTGTTTCTCTGGATCAGGCCTTACTCATTCCAATAAATTACCTGGGTATCTCTTTGAGGATAATAAAAAGATTATTAAAGCTGAGCACAATGGAACAGACCATTGTGTATTTCCAGACTTTAATCAACAGTTTGACTTTTGAACGGGTGTTGTGTGGATCCCGCCTGTCTGCCAGGGAGGGAAGATCCTCTGGAATTCTTCCTTAGCTGGGAGTGTCAGATTTTGCAATGGGCCCTGGCCAACTCCCGGGGCAGGTGAGTCAGCATTTGACACCCCAGTCTGGGTGAAGCTGGGATTAGAGGGCAGGTGACTCACAGGGATGGCAGCCACGCTGTGCCATCTGCGCCTGTTTGTGCCACAGCGTTTGGCCACGGGTTTGGCTAATCCCAAAAATCAGCACTGCAGGATGTTGGCTCCCAAACCAGGGCTGGAAGCACAGCTCCCTCGGGTCAGGGTTGCCAGAGGGGGGAGATGACTGAGCCTTCAGTGCAAGGTGTTTTCATCATCAAATAACTACCTCTAGAGTTCCTATTGTGGCAGATTCTGTAAGGACAGTGGGTTTGCTCCTTTGGGATCAATCCCTTGGGAGTTGTGTAGTGAACACCTGCCAGAGCCAGTGGTGCAGGACTTGACCTTCGGGCCACGAGCCAGGACTGGGGGAGGCCGCCCAGCCCAGGAGGGGGGGGTCAGGACTCATTTTTAACTCCCCCATCTGTTTCCCCAGCCAGGCCGGGCTGTGTGTGGTGGGATGAGCCGAGCACAGGAGGGATGTGGGGTCTGGAGCCTCCTTCCCCCCCCACAAAGGCAGGATGTGGGTCCCCAGCGCTCGTGGCATCGGTGTGGCCTTGGGATGGAGCCGGAGCTGCGTGTCCTGAGCAACAGCCACGGCTGGAGAAGGGACAGGAGACGGGAGCAGGGGCTGCGGCACCGACAGCGATACCGGCGCCTGACACGGCCCCCCGGAGCCAGCTCTGCTGCTGCAGTAAGGTAATAAGTGCAGGGAGCAGCAGGTGCTCATGGAGAAATGGAGAAGGACGTTGTCCACCAGATACTGGAGAGCTCAGGTTGCTCTTTCCAGCTGCAGGAGAGGAGCAGGGCTGGTCCCTGCACGGGAGCCACTGCTCCGGGCAGGGTGGGCGACGCTCTGAATCCTTGGCGTGGGAACCTCGGGATCCTTCTGTTTCACTTAAAAGAAAACACGGAAAACGTCTTGGGAAAGCAGCTCTGGGGGGAAGGGAATTGCTGGTTCCTCCACACAAAGGCTTTGTGTTCGGTGCAGGGGCAGAGCTGCAGCTTGTGTAAATTGTTGTGGCTGTGCTGAAAAGAGCGGAGTTCTGCTGCCGACTCAGCTCGGGGATGGCCCCTGGAGAGAAGGGTCAGCCCGTGGGGCCGGACTCTCCAAGCACGTGCATCACTTATCTGCTCAGCCAGAGCTTCCTTTTGGGATTTCTCCCCACCCTTGACCTGTGCCGAGGCCGTGCCCTGTTCCAGGTTGTCCCCAAGCTCACAAACCTCAGCTGCCTCTCTGGTCCCCCTGCCCTGACCCAGCACATGTGGTGGGAGAAGGGAATGTCCATGATGGGACAACCTGGGCCTGGGCTCTGGGTGCTGCCTGGGAAGCTTATGGAAGGGTGTTTGCCCAGGAAGGGGGTGGTTGTAATGCCTCACTCAGGTTTATAAAGAATTGGCTACAAACTTCACATGAAACCGAAGCCAGTGGAACGTTGGTGAAGAAATGCTGATCCCTTTTATGAATAACCCCCACATGCTTCCCCTTTCCAGGAGGGAGGAAGCTCCCATTAAAAATTGATAAGTCTCCCTGTCAGCTGGATTTTAATTCAGCAAGTGGATTTGACTACTGATGTGAAAAAACTACCTTTGTCACCATGCTGATATTTTTTTAATGAGACAGAAATGGTTTGGCGCCTTTCCAGCTTATTAAAATCTCTGTGAGTCCACATGCACTGGCACAAGGGGATGAGAAGGGAAAAATTACATGGAGTGCATGATTGGCAAAACAAAATCAAGCTCTTTTTTATTTATTTATTTTTAATCTGTTACAAGCCTGTGAATGAATCCTTCTATTATTTATGGGGGAGGATAAAGGGAGCCGTCCCTGTGGCAGGAGGAGGCAGACTCCGCTTTCAGTTCAACTCTTCTTTCCAGACAAGGAAAGTGAACACCTCACTGTCGCCCAGGGCAGAGACAAGTGAAGGTAGTTGTGTGAAAATGGAGTAAATCACATGTTTTGT